GATGCCCGACGTCATGGCAGAGAGGGTGAACTCCCCTTCCTTTGTCTACAGAGAGACAGAGAACAGCTCAGAGCAGGTGACTGCACACACCAGCAGCTTCCCAGCTCCCCAAGACCACCCTGCACTCATCCCCAGGCCCCCAGTGCTAGGGCACTGCTTGCTAGCCACAGAGTCAAACCCAGCCCCTCTGTCCCCCAGCACACTCCCAGTGGGAATTAGCATTTCCCAGCAATCAGGCTGATCTTGCCATAGGTGAGACTCTAAGGCTGTGACAAAACCTTCCCTTTCCCCTTTCTTTTCTGACAGTCAAAAAACTGGCCCTCAAACCCAAGTCCACAGCTCTCTGGAGCGCTGTGTGGGGATGCTGAGCAGCCTCTCTTGGGTGTCTGGGGAGATGTTCCCCTTGTCACAGACAAGCATCCCCATCAGCTGTCCTGCAGGTGGACTCTCCCTCCTCCCCACATTTCCCTTACATGGATCTGGAAGCCGTAGTTCCTCTGAACTGGGTACTCAGTGACATCGTAGCACGTGGATAAATCGATTTCTCCATCCAGGTCAGCTGCCTGCACAGGGAAGAGGTAAAATAAGCCACAAAGCTTTGCAGCCCCAAAGCATGGTGGGCTTGCAGGGAAGCACAGCAGGCCCCTGAGAAGCACAAAGCCCTGAAGGGGCCCCAGGACTTCGGAATCTGGGAATGGGGGCACTGAGGGAGGCAGTGACCTGCCCAGGATCTGTTTGGGAGCACCAGGAGCTGCCCTGTAATGGGCTGAGCACTGACAGAAGACACTTACCTCCTCTGCCACTGAATCCCGGTAGTATCTCAGGCTCTGGTCAGTCAGCACAAACCAGTGCTTCTTCCACTAGGAAACAACAAAGATGGAGCAGTTACAATCCTGCTCCTTCCCCACCACCATATTCATGGCTGCTTGTCACAGGTCGACTGGCAGAGCCACCCTGCAGGAGGCAGCTCGATGCCTGTCCCTCCCAGCTCCACACATGGCCACTCCATGGGAAAGGGGAGACCCAAAGAGGCAGCAGTGCAAGGGACAGTGATGGTTTGCTGCCACCCTGCAGAGTACCAGATGCTGCATGTGACAGTGACACCACGAGAGCCACGGGGCAGTCACAGCCTCCCCATTAGCTCCACTGCAAGATAAGGCTTTTAGGGACTGCACTTAAAGCCTTTTTAGCACAAAAAAAGGTGGTAAAACATTCATGTTTTATCTACAGTGCCTAGAAATTGAGTTGGGAGTCTATTCTTGGCCCCTACTCTATACAAATCTGCCTCTTGAATGCTTCCAGCACAGGCTCACCTGAGGCAGCTTTCAGTCAAAGCACTCGCTTTTTCCAGCTGCCAATTCCCCTTTGGCTGTCTATGGATGTGTCCCAGGACCCAGGGGTACCCACAGCAGAGCCTGGGCCACCCACAGCCACAGGCACACTGCCCTCATTTTCCCTGACAGCTTAGTAGGTGGGAAGAAAATCCAGGGAAGGGGTGGTTTGCAAACAGCCAGGGCCATCCACGCTGCCTCAGCATCAGTGCCCACTCCTAAGGCTCCAATAGAGCAGAACATCCTGCATCCCTTTGGGAATTAACAGCAGGAAAGTGGCACCAGCTGCTGCCCTCAGAGCCATTTATTTATTGCCATTTCCCTGGCACTCAGGAGACTTTACCTGAGCCTCATTTCTGACACCAAAGAGGTCGCTGGATCGCAAGGGAGACAGAGTAATAAATAGGGAACAGGAACATGAAACCAGTGCTGCCATCCAAGCTGCCCTGCCTCCCTAGAAACCCACAATATGATATCCACCTTTGAAACCTCCCCAGAACAGAGCAACAGCAATTCCCACTTCAAGAGAAGCCCAATACTCATCTATCCAGAACACTGGGGCTCCATCAGCACCGAGAGCTGCCCCATGTGCAGCCGGCACAGGATGTTAGAGTGAGCTGCCAGAAACCAGGACTGACCACAGCACCAAACACTGACATGAAGGGCAGAGCTTTCTCCTGACTCACCTGCCCATCCTCATACTGCTTTGTCAACCAGCCCTTCTTGAAGTTCAGCAGGTCGGGCTGGAAGAAAGGAGAGAGGGATCAGGAGAGGGAAGAAGTGTCTGCGCCCAGAAGGCAACAGCAGCGAGTTGATAAAACCCAGCAGAGCAATGAAAGAGACCAAAAACAGTTAAATTCACAGAATCATATAATAGTTTGGGTTGGAAGGGCCTTTTAAAGGTCATCTACCCCAAGCTGAATCATTACATTGCATGGTGGCTAAATGTTTGCTCCCAGGAGGAATGGAGACCTCTGCACAGTTTATTCAAGCTGTTCCCTTCCTACCATTTCTCCTGCAATTTCCTACTGCTACACCAGCATTACAGAGAAAGGATAAACAAGGAATTAGCAAGACTTCAGACAGTTTTACCCTCTATTATATATTATGAAAGAAAAATGATGTGCTATTGATGCAAAGCTGCAGGGTTCAAAACAGGCTGAGTTCCCAAGGCTGGAAATACAGGGAATCCGAGCCCTGCACCACCCAAATGACACCTGCTTTTTCCTCCAGTGTGGGTGCATGGGGATGTTGAATTTCTGAGGAAAGCAAGCAGGACAGCGTGGGATAACTGCTGCCAGCCCCTCCTCCCAGCCCTGCCTGTGTGCAGGGAAGGATGTGGTGGAAATGCTTTCACTCCCCCGAGGCTGAGCTCCTCCAGCTGCTCCACGTGCTGTAGAGTGGAGGAGGAAAACACAGCAGTGTGTGAAATCCAGCTGCAGCATCTGAAACGGGCTACAGCAAGGGCAGCAATGGAAGCTGGGTCTGGGAGCCTATTCAATCAAACCCATGGGGCAGCACATCCCATATCTGAGTGATCCTGTGGTGGTGGGAACCCAGTCCTGCTCCACAAAAACACAGGGGAAAGTAAAGTAATGCATTATAGAATGTTTTGGGTTGGAAGGAACAGTAAAATCATTCTGTTCCAACCCCCTGCCATGGGCAAGGACAGCTTCCACTACCCCAGACTGCTCCAAACCCCATCCAACCTGGCCTTGGACACTTCCAGAGATGGGGCAGCCATAGCTTCTCTGGGCAACCTGTGCCAGGGCTTCACCACCCTCACAGGGAAGAATTTCTTCCCAATATCTAATCTAAACCTGCATGACTTTCTTTCCTTCACCAGATAATGTGCATTGCCACTTCATATGCACTTCTTATTCCCACCAAGAATTTAAAAATCACTCTTGTGGCTGTACAAGTCTACAGGAAAAGCTCCAGAAACACCAAGCTACTGCATTTTTCTGATAAGTCCTTCAATAGAAGCTGTCCATCCACAAAAAATGCAACTTGTATTTACAGTAGGTCTGTAATCTATTTGAGAGATTAGCAAGTGTATTTATTTTGTCCCTACAGAAGGGTGGTGAGGGAGAGGAGAGTACTTTGTGTTTATTCTGTACTGTTTGCCTCCAGGTCTGGTGAGCATTTGAAATATGCAAAGGGAGGAAAGCTCAGGAGGGAAGGTTCAGCCCTTCCTTGAAGCCTTCATCCCACTCACACCCACTTCCAACTGCATAAACATCAAGGAAATGGCATTAGAAAACTGGAACATGTGTTTGCTCAGCCTGGTCTGTGTCCCTGCCCCTGGCAGGGGAGTTGGAACAAGATGATCTTTAAGGTCCCTTCCATCCCAAACCATTCTGGGATTCTGTGATCCTATGAAAATACCACAGTCGTGACACAGCAGCTGGTCCAAGTCCAGAAACTGGACTGACTCTCTGCTGAGCTGGAAATGCCCTGCTGCAGCCTCTGCTGGGGACACCACGGGGCAAAGAGGGGCTCTGGCCAGGTGAGGTGACCTCAGAACTTCTAGGGTGACCTACAGCGTAAGTGTCTGACACATCACACAAAGCATGGAGGAAATGGGGTATTCCAGGGGGAAATAACCAGAGCAGGGTCTGCTTTCCAAGCTGCTGCTGTACTTTAAGGAAAAGTGCTCCTCACAGAGGACTGAGTTTTAATTTTTGCAACAGGTAAAAAGTGTGGCCCTTCTCCAGCTGAGCCCCTGAGCCTTTCAGCACTGGTCACATCTGATTCAGGTCCCTGAACCTGCTCCAATTCTGAGTGCATCCCATATCCTATGTGCTGGCTGTGAGGAAAGCAGCAACAGTCCAGTTTTTGTGGGACCTTTTGGGAAGGGCCTCTCATGCCCTTCCCCAAGGCAGGGGACACCCCCCTGGTGGCTCACCGTCATAGAGGACTCCGTGGACCTTCTGTCCAGTGACTTTGCCCGGCGGTGTGGGGACAGAGGTGACGCAGACACGTCCAGGATGGAGCCCACGGCTGCTCCTTCACAAGTGAAGTCCTGTGTGAACAGCATTAGCCCAGATCAGTGCAGGAACTAGGACAGAGTCCTGCTCTCTTGGCTCATGGCATAAAAATCTGCTTTATTTAAGGGACATCTCAGGCTCAGAACAAGTGTCATTTCCTTGGCAATACATTTTTTGTCCTTTCAGGCACTAATTTGTTCCCATTATACCCAAGTATATCTGGGACTCTCAAACATGTTTCTTTTGTTACTTCACCCTATCCTGATGTGTCCTGCCATGCCAGGTCTGAAGTTTCCCTTTGTATTATGAAGAAAAAAGAGACAGTCTGATTTTCCACTCCAATCTACACCTGGCCAAGGGAGCAGAGCAGGAAAATTCACACACACTGAGCACCCATAGCGGTTCAGCTCCTGCAGGAGCTGCCTGCGACTCCAAATCCACATCCATGGACAAACCCTGCAGCTAAACCCTTATCCTGGGCTGCAGGATTCCAGGTTTTATCTTCCAGGATTCTGTGGCTGAGCATCTTACCCGTTTCCGTGGGAAAACCCTCTTCTCACTCCTGCCCTGCCGCGTCTCGCTGGACAGGGCGGCGCCTCCCGGCGCGTTCGTTTCCATGTGCTCCGCGTTCTCAATATCCAGTGCCTCGAATTTCTCAATCACCTGGGATCTCCTGGAAAACAGGGACAAAAGGGAAACCAGAGATGTTTTAAACACATGAGCAGCAACTGCGTGGAGCTGTACAACCCCCCAAGTTTAAGGTCACAGATTGCTCAACCCAGAGTTCATGCACACCAGGCTTTTGGTCCTGGTTTCTCTGTGAGCTCCAGCATGGCCAAATCCAGGGTAAAAACACTGATCTGACATTATTTTACCCACAAAGTGGGGAAAAAACCTCACATTATTCAGCTCTGCACCTAGCATCTTCAGTAACTAGAAACCTCTCACAAAACCAGCAATAATTTTTCATTTGTGACTTTAACAGCCCCTTGGGAAGTAGGGATTATGGAGCAGCTTTGGCTTAAGCTTTGCCTCTACCCTCTAGCACTGGGGCTCTCAACTGCACCCCAGACCCCTGACACGTCACACCAAGCTGGGGTGCAGAGGTAATGGGTGGCTCTGGGTCCCCCAGTGTGTTCACTGCAACAGGAACCCTCTGAAAACTCAACCCCACACGGGGAACAACCACAGGACTGCACTGAGTAAGGGGTGTCCATAGGTGCCCCCAGACCACGGCTCTGGCTCACAGGATGTACCAGCTGAAAGGGCCTGGGGAGATGAGGAGCACCCTGTACCATGGCAGGGAACTCCCTGCAGAATCTGGGGCCTTTCCCTCCTCTTAAGTGGGCTGAAAATCCAGTCTGGACATCAGGAGGCACGACCTGGACTCTCAGACACTGCCTTGGTGGCCCACTGCACTGTGGCACTTGTGTTTCTGAGGATGGAGAACTATGAAGAAATGTGGATGGAGCAGGAGCCAACCCTGGATCAAACCCAAATGGGATTCTCTTAAGGACGAGCAAACAGGTGGAATTAGAAGTGCTGTTTCAACATGAGAAGCTGCTCACTGACCCACAGGAGAGGAATTTCCAAAGAACCTGCTCGTGTCTAAGTCTGAATTTTCAGGGGCTCAGGAAAGTATCAGCCTCAGGTCTTCAATCACAAACTGGGAATATAAAGCAATAACCCACCACCACCACATGCCAGCTGTGCTCCGAGCTGTGAGGCTTGAAGTTCCACTTCAAACCTCCCCAAAAAGCTCTGTCCAGGTGGTTTCTTGACACAAAATTTGGACCCACATGTGCCACATCTAAACTTGGGGCTGTTTGCTCTGTGTGAGCCTCTGATGTGCATGAAAATCACAATGGCAACCACATGAGGGATAACAGGTTATCCAAAATAAAAACATTTTTAACACTTCCCACAAAGAGGAACAGCAGGTTAAGGATTCAAAAAACCATGAGATGTTCAGTTTTCAACCAATATTAGCACCAAAATCTATAAATGAGACAACCAGTCTGAGCACATCCCATCCCCTGGGGGGCTGGGGCCCCCCACTGCTGCTCAGAGCCAGGCTGCCAGGACACAACAAAAGAGGAAGGGACAAAATTGGTAGGGAAGACATTGCTTTGTAAATTTAAAGATCTTTGATGCTTTTAGGGGACATCTGTTCAGCCCCTCCTGCCTCCCAGTTTGCAAACTGGGAGTGGGTAGATCTCAGGCTCGTGCAGAGCTCCTGATTTCTCTGGGATGTTCTGCTCATGAGAAGCCTGACATAGGCCAGGCTGAGGAGCATAAATTCACGTTCTGTGTTCACTGACAGACACGGAATTGTTTTGGAGTCACATTCTTTTAACCCTTTTTATTCTGGGCCAGCCTTCTCTGAGTCTCAGTTCAGGAGGGAAGAAAAGGTCCATGAATTAACATTGTCTGTGCCCTATTAGGTGAAGGTCTGAAGAAAAACAAATCAAGAGGGAAAAAAAAAAAAAAAAGAACAAAAACCCAACCAAAAAAACCATAAAAACAAAATCAAAAGCAGGTTGATTTTTCATGAAAAAGGGGCTGCACCACCAGGTTGTTCTACGGCTTGAGATTGAGATGAGATGGTAGTGAAGCAGGCGAAGTAAAGGTGGACACGTCACACAGCAACACAGCAGGAGAAGGTGGAGAGCAACAAGACCTGGAAGAAAACAAGGCTGGAAAATGAATGAACAGAAGAGGAAATTATATATCTGCATCTACATATAAAACAAAATCAAAATCATTCCAGTCATTCATCATCGAAAAAGGGAGGAGAAAAATAAATCACTGCAACCAAATCACAGCCCCAAGGGTTAATATCATCCAGATTACAGGAAAGAATCTTTTTTTTTTCCCATTAGATCAACATTTCAGAGAGGTTACTGCCAGAGATCCTGGAGGGATGGGGAAGGAAAGGCTCTCCTCCCCTCCCCACGTGTTGGATAGAGCTGCTCCCTCTGCACAGCAGCTCTGGGTGGACAAAACGAGGCTGGGACAGGTATGAAGAAGCTTTTTAAAAGCTGCGGTGCATTTAGTGCTTTTCAACTACAAAAGCTCATCCCAAGGAATTCCTTGGCCATGCAGGCTGTTAATCTTTTCCAGGCCACTAAACCCAGGCTGCAGATCTCAGCTGTTAGTGGAGGGGGTGTGCAGTGGGAAGGAAAGCTCAAAAGACCAGGATGAGTTGTCATTAAAGTGATTTTCTTTGATTGGAAGAAAGGCCTTTATTTTTATTGGATTCATTCATTATTTAGCATCAAGAAACATAGTAAGTGTAAGGAAAAGGAAGAGGCATTTCCCAAGAGGTCCACCAGAATGATGAGGATAGTTTTATGAGGAAAAAAACTGTATTTGGGAGAGCAGAAGCTCCTCTGTATGGGGAGAAGCAGAATTCAGAGCAGAGCTTTACACCTCAAGAAACTCCAGAGAAGGAATTTGAGCAAGAAAAGTATTTTAAGCAATTTCAGACAATTCTGCTGTTAATTGATGCTAGAAATACACCTCAGCCCCTGACCACACTCCTACATCAGATGTGGCTGACACCACAGTGAACTCTTGCCAGTGTGAGAAGAGTATCAGGTCAACTGGGAAAGCTGTGGTTTTACAGGCTGCACCCCTGGAATTGTGCACAAAAAACCAAGTTTGTGAAACAGAAATCCTGAGATGTGCAGGGATTTACCCCTGCAGCTGCAGAGTCCCTCTGGGATATGGGGACTGCTGTCTAAGGACGTTCCTGCAGCTCTTTCCAGCTGTGATATTCGTATGCAACACCTCCAGATTCATCCATTGGGTTTCCAAAGTGCTGCCCCTGCCCTTCTGCCCTAGGGATGGGTTTGAGAGGAGGGACTGGAGATGGCTCAACCTCTCTGGCCTCAATGCCTGTCCCCCAGCCCAGTGTGACATCCTGGTGGGTGCTGCAGCCCTGTCCTGCCACGTGCCAGCAGAGGGAACTCGCACTCTGCTGCTCTGCCAAAATCGTGGAGATTATCTCCTGTTTCCTGATTCTGAGTGGCTGCAAGCTCAGACATCTGCATGGAGGCAGAGTCAGGTATAAATGGTCAGCACAGAAAATTCCTGGACTTAAATCATGTAATATTTCTTGTGATAAGGAAACAGGATGAGAAGCCTTGACAAATGGCTTTATCTGGAGCAAAGCCTGCAGGTGTGGCACTCAGGATGCAACACTGGGTACCTGGAATAATGATTTTCCATCCACAGCTCTGACACTTGCACTGACTTATACACAAAAAAATGGGAGGAAGAGCTGAAAATACCAACAGAATCTGAGTGAGTTCATTTGGCTGCACTGAAGGGCAGATCTGCACGATGCCTGGCTGGTGCCTGTGGGGTTGGCATGGGACAAGTGTTCCCAGACATGTTAGTGGGTTACTGAGAAAGATTATTACAAATGGTGTTAAACCAGGGGGAAAAGCCAACCCCACAGCATGGAAGTGAGTTATTGTATCTGCCCAACCTCAAACAGCACAGTCTGAGCTTGGAGGAGAAAAATGAGAGGGACATGGGGACTAAGTAAACTCAAGTTAAAAAGCAGCCAAGCCAAGCTGAGCAGGGTGCTGGGGAATGTTAATTCTCTGGTGCAACACTGGACAATGTGTCTGTGCCCTGTTGAGTCCACTGAGCTCCAACATGACTGTCCCAGCTCCAGGACACAGGGCCTCTCCACCCACACCACCTGCACGGCCAATTCCCACGTTACCAGAGGAGAAAGCAAACATGCCCATCCCTGAACACCCACTGAGCCATCCCTGTCCATGACACATTCCTCCAGCACCATGGGCTGTGATCCACGGCCAAACCCTCTGGTAGGTGGGGACTCCTCCCCCTTGTTTCTGCCATCACCCCCTTCCCAAAAGCTGGACCAGGTTCAGCCCTGTGGGCAGCAAGACCCCAGTGCAGCTCCTGCTCTTCTCCCTGCACCCATTCTGCTCTGATAAAAGCCCTGGGCTGATTCAGGGAAATGCTGCCAATACTGATAAAGCAAAAATACTGTTAACAGCCAGAGCCAGGCTGGGAAAAACAGACTTTCCCTGGGAAAAGGCACCCACCAGCAGGCAATGAGTGGGGCTGACATTATAAAAGGACAGACTCTGGCAGCAATGTCCTCTCCCAGGCCCTGTTATCTGTTATAGTTCTGCTCCCCAGTTCTGTGCAGGATGATCCCAGTGCTGCAGGATAGCCCAGGGCAAGGGACTGCTGGAGGAATGCACTGCTCTGTCATGCTGGGGACAGGCACTGGCCAGAGCATCCTGTGCAAGCAAACACAGCAGGGACACAATGTCACCCACAGGCAGCACCAGCTCAGCCTGAAAGCCAGAGCCATCAGCCTTTTCTCAGCCCTGTCCCCAGGCAGGATGGCCAAGGTGGTATCCTCCTCCACCATCCTGGGGAAAAGCCAATTCCCAAGGCAGACAAAGCCAAACCCAAGCTTTCCTCATTTATTCCCAGTCCAGCACTCCCTGCACACATTCTGGGCCAGGTTTGGGATCCTCCTGCTGACTGATGGCACCAGCACAAGGCTGTGCTGCACACCCCAGACCTGCTCCCAGCTCTGGGAAGCAAGTCTGGAAAACAGTCCTTTAGGGGCTGGGAAGCAGCAGAGGAAAGGCTCCTACTGAAACTGTGCGAGAGAGAACATGCCCGGAGGAGAACCAGGGCAGGAAAATCAGACTGGCAGGCAGCCCTCTCGCCCAGGGCCTGTCTCCCAGTTTGCTCCACTGCCCTCACTGCACAAATGTGTCTCTCCCAGGGCGAGTGGAGCCCATCCTTGGCCTCGCCCAGAGGGCACCCGGCGTGCGCGGCGGACGCCCTCCCCGTCCTCCTCCACACTAAGCTGTTTTGCAGCCTGCTGAGCCCTGCCTTGGCACTGCACCCACCTCTCCCTCCTCTCCCAGATTAATGCTGTGACATTTTGAAACCTCTCTCAGCTCATTAGGCAGTTGCGTAAGGCACCTGGCACTAACGCCACTAGGAGAGCTAACCTAATTAATGGTGCTGGCTGCCAGCGTGTGCCGCGCTGGGAGGGGCTGGCAGGGTGGGCATCCAACACCACCCGACACCAGGGCAGGTTTAGATTAAATACTAGGAGGAAATTCTTCCCTGTGATGGTGGTGAGGCACTGGCACAGGTTGCCCAGAGAAGCTGTGGCTGCCCCATCCCTGGAAGTGTCCATGGACAGGTTGGACGGGGCTTGGAGCAACCTGGGATAGTGGAAGGTGTCTCTACCTACGACAGAAGATGGAACTGGATGAACTGTAAGGTCCTTTCCAACCAAAATCATTGTAAGGTCCTTTCCAAACCCCAGAGCAGCCACTACCACTATTAAAGACATCCCACCACCTGGGCACCCTTAAACCCAGGAGCACCCCAGAGCAGCCAGGCAGGGTGACACCTGCCCACTACCACTATTAAAGACATCCCACCACCTGGGCACCCTTAAACCCAGGAGCACTGAAAAACAAAGAAGCTCCACCCATCAAATTCCACCTGCTCCATCCAGGCTGCGCTGGGAACGCAACCTCACTGCTGCTGGAAGCATGCAAGGAGATGAGCCACTCATTCCTTACCTTCTCTCATTCCCAAAGAGCCGGGCCACTTCTTCTCTCCCAGGGCTACGAGCCCGGGTTCTCCGCTCTAGCCGCTTCCTCTCCACCTGGAAGGCCTCACGATTACTGATCCTAATGGCCTTGGGAACGTCGGCCAGGGTGGTGTACTGCCGGCTGGCTTTAAAAGAAAGGGGACGCCCCGATTTCTCAGCTCCCCTTCCTAAATCTCTGTTGTTGGAGTCCTTGTGCATGGGGCAACTGCTCTTCGAGTCCAAGGAGTTCAGAGAGAAGCTGTGAATCATTCGGTCGCCTGATCGGATACCTGGGGAAGGAAAGGGCTGGGCATGCTCCTGTGAGGGCGATTTGGGATAACTGTACCTGTTGTTCGGGGTGCTGGGGCTGGGCGGGCTTGGTGGGGGTGGCAGTTGCTGCTCTTCCAGCTTCGAGTCTTGTTTGGTCTTCTCCAAGGAGAAGTACCCGCTCTCGACACGCGTCTTCCGCCCGCAGTCTATCCGGTCTCCGTTCATGGAGCTCTCCTCTAAGGGACAGAGAAGTCACCGTGCTTGGTTTCAAGTCCAAGTTCTGCTTTTAAGAAAGAAACACCCTGAATCCACCCAGGACAAGAGGCAGGTGTGAGAGCAAAGTTGGTCTGGGCACCAGCCCCATGCGGTGCTACCTCCTGCACCCTTGGCTTTTCCACCCTGAGCAGCCCTCATGCCCATGGAGACGGTGGGATACTCTGCAGGGAACTGGGGATGCTGATCCAACCCTTGGGCTAGGTTTGTACAGGTGAAAGATCTGAACTTTCAAACCAAGAAATGGGCAGCTGCAGCTCTGCATTCATTTCCATCCCTGTCCTTCCCAGCACAGCTCCATGAGTGCAAGGCAATGGACACCTCACCCATCCCCATCTCTCACCTTCTTTGCTGTCCAGCACAGGATCCTTCATGGAGCTGGCAGCCCCAGCTGGGCCCTGCATGGGGCTCTGGGCTGGGCCAATGCCACTGCCCCCATCTGCTTGGTCTTTGCCCCTCATTTCTTCCTGCCAGAGCGTGGACTTGGTGGCAGGGACCTTCTCAGCGCTGGGAATGTTGCTGCTGGTCACAGCCATCTTAGCAGGACCAGGTTCCTAAAAAAACCAGTTGACACAGGAAGTTAGAGAGTTTGCCCCAGCTCCACACTCAGGGTCTTGGGCTTGGCCCCGAGGTGTGAGCTCCACATAGATTGGGTGCTGCCCATGCCACAGCAGGACAGGGATGGGACAGTGACATGTGTCAGTGCTTTATGCCCTTTTAAAACATTCCCCATCATCTTCAGTGCTTCTCTGCTAACAAGGAGCTCTGGAGCCCATCAGATGATGGATGGTGCACCTTTGGTGGCCATAGCCTGGCCAGCCCAGGTTCAGAATGTGACCCAGAAGAGGCAGCAGCTTTCCCAACTCCTTCCTTGGCTTTGTTCATTAGCAGATGTTTTGCTGTTGTCATATTAAACTTCTGCATTCACAGATTATTTTTCTTAAAGCCACTCATAAATCAATGACAATTAACTCCCCTTTGGATTGTGGGAAGTTTTCCAGCTGCTTGTTCCCTTTCCATGGAGCAGGGAGGAATACAGGAGTGCACAGACTGGCAACTGAAATCTGGGAACAAGGGCTGCAAAGAGCATCCTCTCTATCCCCTCCTCCCACATCAGGTGGGTTTTAGCCCTGCACCTCCACTGGCATTTGCAGGGCTGTGCCAGAGCCACCAGGGATCTCCCAGGGAGTGTGTCCTGGCTCCACACACAGCCATGACAAGCAGCAAATGACCTCAATTTTTAAAAAAATCCCCTTGGGAAATTTCACACTAAAGGAATGCAGTGTTGGAAGTAAATGATCCAGAGTTCACGGGCATCCTGCTCAAGAGGACCCTGCTGAAGCAGAGGATCAGGCCAGTCTCCAAGGTCCCTTATACTCTCCTTCATTGATCCAAGCCCAAAGCTAATCACCAGCTCAGGATATATATCTTTATATATCTCTTACACACACCCCCATGTAATTATTTGTAGATATGTATTTAATTAGGCAGAGATGTGGGCCAAAAAGAAGTCTGTGAGGGAGCAGAGACATTAACTCTCTCCTGCTCAGGGGTATGAACAACTCCAAGAGGCAGAATGCATCAAAATCAGCAAAACCAGCCTCTGGTTGCACGAGGTGTGTCTGGGCACGCTCTGCTTACCTGAGCCTGCCACACCCCTGTGCAAACCCAGGGCAGAGCCTCAAATCCCACATTTCAGCCCCAAACCCTGTCTCAAGTTCCCAGGGGCAGCAGGCAGGCACAGGCATTCCAGTCTCTCCTGCTGTGGGAGCACAGCAAAAGCTGCAAGAGAAACCTGCCCTTTTCCCCCTAAAATTGCAACCAGCTTGCAAAGCAAAGTGAAAACACCTAACACTCCCTGTTGAAAAATCTGCAGCAGGAGTGATATTCATTGCATTGCTCCCACCCTGGTGATTTTGCAGAGGGATGATGCAAAATGATGGGGGGAGTTGAAAATGACCTTGATGCTCCAAGAGCATCCAGCTGTAACCAAGGTCTGCTGTATCACAGACAAGCAAAAGCTATGGAGAGTGAGAAAAAGCAGGAATATAAAATTATTTTTTTATATCACAAAGGTGCCCACCCCTCCCTAGTGTGTGGCCAACTTTAGGAAGAATGCAAGCATTCTCCACCAGCACATGGAGAGCAAGCTGAACAGCAGCCAACTCCAGGAGAGGCCATTTCACAGAAAAGAATTTGGTGCTGATTTTCTCCTCAGCATCCTCTTTCCTTCCCTGGACCAGCCACCTGCATCAGCAAGATCTGGGAGACAGAGGAAAGATGCTGCTTCTGCCTTTGCAGGTTGCTCCTAAGTGCCTGACACAGCACAGCATCCATCAGCAGCAGCTCCCACATGGAGGCTGGTTTTGCAAAGTGAATTTGAGCCTTTTTCCAGCACCGTGGGGATGGAAGCCATGGGATGGAGAGAGTGCAAGGAGGGTAGCAAGTAAGACAGGGTGCTCTGTCCCAAGACAAGAGGGCAGTGTGCCACAAGGGTCCCTGGTCCCCATCCCCAAGCACCTGGGGAGCCCATCTGCCCACAGGGAGCCGGCATCCTTCCCACAGCCACTTCCCTTATTTGGTGCTCAGGAGCTCAGATCCTGTATGGTTTCCAAGAAGTTGCCATGGTGATGAAATGTAACCCAGAATGATGTTTTTCTGGCTCTGTGCCTCTTGTCGTCTCCACCCTGTCCCCCTCCTGAACCCAGCCTGGGTTTAGTGGTGCACCCTGGCCAGGGTGAGCATCCCTGCCCTGCTGCATCCACTCCCTGGGGTGCCCCAAATGCAACAGTCCTCTTCTTGAGAATTGAGGATTGACAACTCATAACATGAAGGGAGGAGTCATCTTCCCTGGAGCATCACCAGAGCCAGCACTTGAGGGGTTGTTCAGGCTGTGAGGACCCCAGACCTCAGCAAAGGGTGGCTCAGACTTACAGCTTGGTGTGCAAAAAGGACCATCCCCTCACTAACATTTCTCCCATTGCCCAGAACATCTTTATCCAGTGGAGTGATGAAAACTTCTTCAAATAAACACTGTATAAAACCCATCCATGGCCCAGTTTGCACTAGGGCCATCCTTGGAACTTCATCAAAGAGGACCTGAAAACCAAAGCTCAGGGGAGCCATACCAAGGCTCAGGGGAGCCCTGGTGCTGGTTTTGGTCCCCAGCAAGGCTGGAGGAGCCCTCCCAGCCGGTTCCCTGTGGTGGGACACACATCCAGAGGTCAGGCGGCCTCAGGGACACGGCTGTTCTCAGCCCCGGCAAGGGACGAGGGTGGCCCTGGGGTCACGTTCCCCATCTGTGGGACTGTCCCCCATTCCAGCCACGTGGGAGCCAGGCAGGAACGAGTGAGTCAGAGCTGGCCCCACTTTTTACCATTTATAGTCAAAGTGAGCACGAAGCCACTGGCGGGTCCCTGGAGAGCCCAGCTCCGGCCCCCGGAGCTCCCAGCCTGGCCCTGGCCTTTAGTATTTTCCTTTCATTCCCATTATCTCTGGGGTCATCTCTAAGGGAGTAACTGGAGCCCGATGGAATTTCATCCTGTTTCCAACGAAAAGGCCCATGAACAGCACCTCTCCCTGGTCCCCCCATGGGGACCATGTGGCTTTGTGGCCACTCCCAGGATTGTGTGCAGGGGTGGCACCACAAAACAGCACAAAGGGGGCAGAACGTGGCCCCAAAGCAGCCAGGAAAGCAGGAGTGTGTGACCCTGGAAGTGATGACCAGGAATTAATTCGCACTGATCTGCTGCCCTGGTTTGTCCCAGCTCTCACCCTCCACACAGGCAGCATCACAGGGCTGGTGATCCTGATGGCCTGGGGGGATCTACCCCAGGACCAGAGCAAGGCCACGGCCCTGAGAGGGAGGCAAGGGACAGGGTGACAGTGTGTGTGTGTGTCCCTGGGTTACCTGGGGAGTTGGGGGCTCTACCTTCCTCTTCTTCTTCTGATTCTGCTTGTTTGTCCTGGGATAGACGATCAGCATCTCCAGCCACCTGCAGGCAGAGAAGCAGAAGGTGAGGTCTGTGCCACAGGGACAGGAGTGATGTTGACCTGGTCATGGTCAGCTTGCTGAATAATACCCAGAACCCATCCCAACCAGCTCCTGGCAGAAAAATAAGCCAGGAGAAGAGGGATGACCCCAGGGTGCTTTGGCTCAAACCCTGTTCTCTGCAAAAGTGAGGCCACAGCCAAGGCTGACATGAGGCAAGAATTCAAGGATCCTGAAAGACAGTAGAGAGGGACAGAGCCTCCAGCAGGACCGTCCCTTGAGCGATGCCAACACCCGCACACTGCAGACAAAGCGCTTTTGTCCAAGGAAGAGCAGCATGAACTCGGCATTGAGAAGTCCTGTGTCCTCCCACCGTGGCCTGACAACCTGCCCCCGCATCTCTGAGAACTCCACAGGGATCCCTGGACCACTGGAAACATTCCCACGTCAAATGTCCCTGCTCCCCTTTCCTTCTCCCCCCATTTTGCACGCTGCTGCTGTAAAGCGTTCGGAGATGACAACATCAAGTGGGGTTTGGTTAAGCAATGAAAGCCAGAAGCACAGAATGAACGTAAAATGAATTCTCCCCCAGCCAGGGAAATCTTCCTGTCATGCTGCAACTGCAAACAAAACCAGCCTGGCTCGGCCCCAGAGTGGGAACTGCTTGGGGATGATTAATGCCTGCAGTCAGGAGCAAACGCTCTGCTTCAAAACCCATCGCTGGGCTGATGAGCAATAAATCAGCCCCACCTCACTCCGCAATGCCTCTCCCTCCCACGGCAGGCAGGACCAGCAACAAAGGCT